CTCCCGTCTTCCAGGTTGGGCTCCGAAAGACTCTACAACTGGTTGGCTGGCGACATTAAAGGATACGGCGACTAACCGACAGCAGTGGCGCTCTTATTGTCATTTCTTAACAAGGCAGAATGCTTGAAAAAAGGTATGCATGAAAGGGGTTGGACGCTTTATACAGCCATACCACATAACCACCTTCGTTTGCTCGGTAACGGCCCCTAAATGTTTTCCTGGTGGTTATCATACGCAGGTTACAATTCGCGTGTTCTATGCCCAACCGGAAGCGGATCGAATGGATGAGGAAGAGCCCCATCCCACTGTCCCCAGTTAGTTGTTATCGGCTTTCTGGATGGGAACCCAAAGACGGAGACAGATTACGACTCGGACAACACTGTCAGATATAATTCAAAACTATTTTTAAGGACGGAACGGCTATTATAATTGAACCTTTTACTCTATCCAATCCTCGATTCTTTTTCTTCAACGTGCTCTTCACTTAACCGGTGAATTGGTGGCACATAGGTTCAAGCGTTGTACCAGGCTCAGTGAAATGCGAATAAAAACTGACTTCTGGACTTACCAATAATATTAAACCTCGGCTGGACAGCTACATCAACCAAGGTGAAAAAAATCAGACCAAAGGTCATGCATAGTACCGCAGAGACCTCAATCCAGTTGTAACGTTTCCCTACAGAGTGAAGTAGGCAAGATAAGGAAAGTATCAGAGGCGTCAGCCAGTGAGGTTCAACAAGATTATCGGACAAAAACGCAGGATCAACGAGCGATAGATATTTCGTGGAAGTTTCGTTTGGTCCACCAAACAATCTATGAATTGTCTCAAACCTGTAGGAAGTAGCCGTGCAAGCCCATTCTGCTCGGCTACCGTAGTTCTAATTAGGAATGCAAGACTATTCAGGTCTACAACTGAAACTCGGATGCCATCCACTTCAGATGCCCGTGAATTCGGTGCACATGTAAGAGCAGAACAAAAGTAGTTCGCGGCGTTTTAAACAGCATGAGCAAACTAGAACTGCACCGATTGGTACGAATGCCAGGGACCATTCTCTGAATAATGTCTTAAAACACCTATACTGGCAACGGCGAACCACGGATTTCACCAATGAGACTGCGATGACTAGGTTCAGAAAAACGTGAATTTATCGGGGGAAATCTTCGCTATAGCAACCGAAACCAAACTGAACGTTATAGATTTATTACTTTCCTTTCTGTTGCATGGGTTGTTGTTACTCTGGGTGCATACTATAACATTTTGCTTGTCCCCTTGTAGCTCTCGTGCCTCGTTTTTGGTCGATTAAAGCTTGGTTTGTCTGCCGACTAAACGTGCGATCTGTTACGCTACGAACTCCCACCAACCGTATAATCTATTGCGTTACATTGAAGTCAATTCAATGCAAGTCTTCTTGAATCCGTTTGACACCCTTCATACGTTTTCACTCATAAATTTGGTGAATATTATTCGGTTTGATCCTCAGTCTCGCCCATGCGTCACACTGACCCATGTGCACATGTGCACCCTGACATTATTTCACCTATCGCTTGTTCGCTTGACGGAGTGGTGAACTCCACTTTGATTCTCGATTGGCATTGTTCAATTCACCGATTCAGGCATACCCCCTGAGAACGCCACAATTGTAACGCTTCATATTTGCAGTAGCGCAATCGTATTCGCTATTGTTTGGAGTCGCATAAACCTCGGGAACATTCGGACTGGGCTTCTGATGTTGCACGTCATACGGATTTAACAAACCTAATGCACACAACNCACAACGAGCGAATTTCCAATCGTGATACAATGAATAATGACTGAGATTTGCATCGGGGCATTTCATCGATCGTTCGCACACTTGTAGCTTTGCAGTGACGGGAAATACAACTGGATAATCAGTGGAAACGAGTATTAGCGGGTAGGGAATCTGACTCACCCAGTACCAAGACACCACCAATCATAACAGGGATCATTTTGCAACATTTGAAGATCACTTGAGTCGGGTAGTTCAGAAAGCCAACGGATGCGTTGGAGAAGGCAATGGTTCCTAGGGAGAGCACAGCCAATAGGAAGTACATACTGATGCCCACAGAAGGAGGCTGATATCTGGTGACAACAATGGATGGGACGAATTCGGTCAAGCTTACTCGGACTGATTTTGACGCTGCGAACGCAGTTCGATAAAGCTCAAAATGACATATATGAGAAACTGGTATAAAGTCAGGAAGGTCGAGTAGGACTGCATTTTGCTGGCCGTGAATATGGCTTCCTAGAGAAACGGAGGAAACGGATGAAAACGGTAAAATACTAAAAATTAACACAGACTTTGAGCACAGTTGGAACAATGAACAATCTTGAAATCTCATATTTCCGTTCCTATAGTAACCTCTAGGATACGGCATGTAATGGCTCATACGAATCCAGAAGCGGACGTCTAAACCAAGTCAGAAACACTTTCCCCACTATTTCGATGGTAAAAAAAGAGCCAGTTGACATGCAAATCAGATAATTCAGTGAAAACGTGCGATAACGGGTGCAATTCGATTTTCTCATATCTAAAACTTACTTGTAACGCGCCATAGAGCAAATAAGCCACAAAAATGCCCACCACGCACACCGCAAACCGGGCGTCACGGGATAAATTGGACAAATTGAATCCACAAAGAAGCACATCCGGTTCCGGACGAGAGGATTCCCTCATAGTGGAATCGGTCTGTTCGGTCATAGAACGATCACAGACGGCAGTCCGAACTATACTCTGCCTACAAATTTGTGATAGTAAAATACAATTATTACAGGGCAGGAAATATCAAAAAATTATCCGGAAAGCATAAAACCATCACGTTTTATAGTCAATCACTGATCATTTCCTGAGCTTCAACATAATAATTTTTCCGCTTTTACACATGCAGTGGTGGATAGCACCGCTCGTTATTGGGAAACTAAATGGCACATTCACCTCAACCAGAAGCCTAAATAAAGCATATAGTCAAACTGAAATTTTATACCGCTTTATTCCATCTCTTATACGTGATTCACAGAGCAGTTTCATTGTACACAATTTTCATTAGTAGTTGAACAGGAGAATATCTATACCGTAATGAAATTCGTCATCTGTTATTGGTTCGCGAAGTCCTGTATAACCTACACGCAGAGTTGGGTCACACAGGAATTAACAAACTGGACTTTGCTGCGAGACAACGCTTTTGGTGGCCACACTTACATGGAGACGTTGTAAATTTCTGCAAAGCATGCGAGTTCTGCGGCAGCTTCAAAAATCCAACCCCACAGTAATCAGGCATCACTCCAGACGATCACCACTGGCTACCCGAATGAAATGGTCGGAGTCGACATAATCGGTCCCCAATCGGATACTTTAGCGGACCACAAGTATACTCTTGTACTGGTTGACTATTTCACAAAATGGTGAGGCCATCCCCCCCCCCCCCAAGAAAAAAATGGCATAGACAAGAAAGGAACAACGGTCTACCATCCTCAGGGAAACGGCCAAGTGGAAAGAACAAACCGCTCACTAAAATCCCCGCTGAATGCCTTCAAAGACATTAACCTCAGGGAGTGGGACCGCGTGATGCCACGCTGCCTTCTAGCGTATAATAGAACGATCCAACGATCCACGGATCAGACCAGACACAACACTTCCTGTGGACTGGCAGAGAGATAAGACTCCCGATCGGCGGGCCAGTCACTGATGGTCACAGAATACGTATCGAAGATGATCGACTCACTAAGAACAGCGGACCAGATGGCTCGCACCCATCTCGAAGCATCACAGAAATACATGAAGGATTATTACGACAAGAAGTGCTTTGGAGCCCCATTGCGAGCAGGCGACAGAGTATGGTTTTACTAGACACAGACAACTCCGGGAGTACCAGCTTAACTCCATAAAGAATGACGCGGACCCTTTGTGGTAGAACCAGTACTATCAGAAACAAGCTGTCATTCGGGAAGTCGGATCAACACAATCACCCTTCGCGGCACACTTTAACCAACTCAAACCATAACTACCACACGCCATACCGGAGACAGATAATAGCGAAACCAATTTGAGCCCGCCAGAAGTTGCCGTCGAAGTAGAGGTACCGATTGAGGTAGGTTTTGCTAGGAAATCGAGGACAAGGCTTTCGGGAGAAGGGGATGGTGTAGAGTGATACCGAAACTGACTGACGTCCAGTAATTGAAAGTCCAATTGACGCCGACAACCACCTTTTACCCCTTCCCTTAACAGTCTGTACGAGTTGCGTGACGCCTATCACAGTTATACAAGGCACTGAGAACGAAGACCTAAACAGCACCACTACGTAACATTACCATTTTTTATTGTAACCATTTCATATTCTTATAGTGTTGCATCAACATAATTTCGTTTGAACCCGTCGAGTCTTCTACTTTAGCATATCGTTGTTATACACAACTAAATAATAAACATTACCTTGAGTAAACGAAAAACAAAGTGTTCTGCAATGCATTTTGTCGCAATTTTTCCTTTTCTTGTTATTACACATTTGTGTGATGAACACCTGTTGTTTGGTAATGGTAACATACAAACTGGTTGCGAAAGCCCTAGTATGGTCGGGGGAGGGGTATTTTGGTTTGCGACTGGAAGGAACCACAGCTACCTGGTTATAGCAGTGGTCAATGGCTCAATTGGGTATGGAGATGAGTTGGACATCCTAGACGTTTGACCTCGTCCAAAGGACGCACGATCCGACGAACTGAACACTGGCCCCCAATGGATTACGATTTCCACACACCGCCCCGCTACCTTCCAGGTAGGGCTTTGGCTGGCCGAAGGCCCTAATTGTGAATTCCCCAAGAAAATTCGCCTGCCTTGACCTGGAAAACCTAGCAGTATCGCACCCACGACCAAATCATGGACCTTTCTTTCATATTCAGCAACGCCATTTGGAACGTTGGGTAGAAAATTTCAAGAAACAGTTGAGCTGGCTCCCGTTGACACACGCCTTCGCCATGCCCGTATCAACTGTGAAAATATTGCCAGTTGACATCAGTTCTCCATCTGAAATGGAGGTGACCCGAGAAATAAATGATCTCAAAAGGTATAAGACCTCGGCCCCTACGGTCTGTCCCCATCGGAGTTTAAGGATGAAGCTTCAGCGTTGGTTATGGAGCTAACAAAACTCCCGCGTTCAGTGCGGAAGGGAAAAGGTTCCAACGGAATAATGTGAATCGGTGATCATACCGATTTACAAGAAAGATGACAGATCCTCTTGTGAAAACCATGAACAGGAACTTCCCGCACGAGAAACGACACCGCCTTATATGGAAACCGCCAACCTCTTCACAGCGCTGGACCCAAATCGACCACTTTGCCATCAGTTACCGCTGGAGGGGATCGATTCAAGACTGCCGCTCTTACTGGTCAACACCTGTGGATACGGATCACGCCTTGCTACGAGCAAAATTCTCCTTACGCCTGGCAAACAACCGTAAAAAAGCCACCGACAACAGATACGCACGATGAAGCGTCAGCGATTGCTGCAAACCGGCCTTCGAAGCGGAACTCTCCGATCGCCTATCAGCTCGATCAACAGCCGAAGGATTCAATGAATACTGGAAGCTATGCAAATATTAATAAAAACAACGTCAGACCCTACCGCAAGATTCAAACCCAAACGATGGAACGCGTTGACCACGGCTCTCCTGCTGGACGCCCACAGAACCCTTCCTCCTGATGCCGCATATGACGTAGCGCGCAAATCCCTCAAACGCCAGCTCATCAGGAATCTGAGGAATGACCGCGAGAAGTGATGGATAGGAAACTGTATAGATATGGAGAAGGCTGCTGCTATTGGTAATAGTTGCCATCTTTTCCGTCTAGCTTGGAATACGGGCCCTAGGAAAATAGGCGTAAGATAGGTAATTAAGGAATCTGAAGTGTAAAATTTTTGCCACAAGATTGGATTGGTCCAGCCCCCAACCTCATTCTGACTGGGAAAGTAGACAACGTTTGCTAGTTGGGCAGCTATATTTCACTTGGCAAACGTATCACAGATGAAGTGGCGGAGGTATACAAAAGGCCTGGTTGGTATTTGCCAATGTTTTTTAGTACACACATTTTTGTGACGAACAGCAGACAGGGTGAACTCCATAGTCAGGAGAATCTGCTTTTCAGTAACCGACAACCTAAACCCCGAGACTTGCAGTGACGAACCATACAAGGCTCCGCTAGGTTAGGCGTGGTATTGAACCGGATGACATCTGTGGCACCACCGCGACATCTGGATGTCTATGAATGGTCGAGTATATGCTGTAGCAGTTCGGTTAGTACTGCTCTACGATGCACAAACTTGGCCACTATGGGAACAAGATAAAAATAGAGTGTCGGTGTTCCAATACCGCTGTCTACATCGCACTGCACGAGTCTGGTGGGGTAACCGGACGAGCAATGCTGAGATTAGGCGTAGTTTTAGGTAAACGCGATTGTCCACTGAAGCGAGTAGTTGACCTCTATAGATTACGCTAAGTGGAGCATGAGTTACTTTACCTTACTTTTCAGTTTTCAGTTTAAACAACCATTGGGCATGCATTTCCGTTGCTGTCTTTTGGCTGCCCATTTTGGTGAACAATAAGAGGAAAACAGGAAGGTTGAAAGTAGGATCGAAGAGAAAATTGGAAAGTTCAGTGGATTAATGAAGCACAAAAACTAGTAAGTGATCAGATCCGCTTTCGTTCCCACATTCAGCCCCGCGATATGATCGACAATCTTCAATCGAAGAAACCCATCATGAACGGATGAGAATGTAATTTATTTGATGTACCGTTTGGCCGTCGTTGGAGTACCACGTTGGATGTTTTTTGAATGTTGAAACAGCGTGTTGGTAATAAACACGAGGCTGAGTAATATGTCGTCATTCTCGCAGCGCTAGCCCAGGCCAAACCTCCCTATGATGTGCTTTATGGCCTCTGCTTGTGAACCAGTTCCAGCGTTCCAGTCCCCTGCTATGACAAGTACATCCCGTTTGGGTATTCTATTAACAAGCGATTGGAGGATGCCATCCTTGACGTTGTTGTCTGATGGGAGAGTCGGGGCGTAGACAGCGATTACTGTGAGGTTTACTGAATGACCCTCGAATCGTGCGACTGCAATCCTAGAGCATATTGGTTTTCAGGAAAGTAAAGCACTATTAACCTGATGGCCTAAAGCAAGTGCCACTCCATATTGACCCGAAGTTTCGTTGCCGCTGTGACAGCCAGTATTGGTGATCGATACCAGGGATTTTTATACTTTTGGAGCTGGAGCCCCGCCAATCTCACTTCTGATAGGCATGTCATATCCAGCTGGTAGTCATGCAGTGCACGAATCGTTTGTGCCTGACACCCGGAATCTAAGAGTGTTCTTAAGTTCCGGCATCCAATGTAAGAAGTTTTGTGTAGTTTAAGGTGTCCAGTGAGCATATCTGTCACCGGAGCCACTGGAGGAGCACAGGGTGCGTCGCTTCCCGGGAACTCAGTAGCATGATTAGTAAGACAGGTTGAATGAATATCCATGAAATTACTTGGGAGTTAGATACAGAAAACGTCCCCAGCGTCACCCGACTTTGGGTCGAGGTGGCACCTCTAGCCTTAGCACATCCAAGTGCTAACTGCAAGACAGTAGAAAGGTAGTGCATGGTTACTGGTGGCCCTCTGGAGAGAACTCATACGCCATTGACAGTCGCTAGCTG